ATTATCAAGCGAAAATGCCGTTAAAAGGCAGAACTAGGAAGAATAAATTAAGAAATCCTGAAAATATGTCGAAATAGTCCTATGGAAGTTCAAATTATCGATTTGTCTCGTTTCGCCTTTCAAAAGAAATTCGTGGAACAGAGCGACATCGTGTTTGGTCTTTTTCTTGGTGTTTTCATTTTCCTGTCCGTCTATGAACTTCTGCTGATGAATCTAGGCTCTGAAAACGGTTAGTCTGATTTGAAGCCATCTTTCTAAAAAAAAATGCGCCTAAGCTCTTAGAAATGTGCTATTTGTCAGTCGAGAGGAGCGGCGAACGAGCGACACGGTTTTGTTCAGTAGTCAAAATAATTAAATAGCCAATCAGAGCGTCGATACGTCGTTTTTCACTAATGAAAAAAAAATCGTATGACCAATCAGCTGGCTCCTCTAGCGCGAAGAGACTATTTTTATCTCGATGCTTTTTGGCGCGTAAATCTCGGTAATAAATTGTGTTACTAAAGACCAGTTTCAATTGTTTGTTTTTACGTATTGGAGGAGGGCCCGTTAATGTTCTTCAAATTTCATTTCTGGGAGTGTGTTGTCGATAAAAAGGGTGTGAATGGGGTTAACCGCTAACCGTCAGAAACAGCCAGAAAATTATCCATTACGCGTAAAAATTGACAAATTTATCCGTAAATCGTAAGAAAGGTTAATCAAAAAAAAAATTTCGGTGACAACAATGGAAAAATATTAACCTTTAGCCGTAAGATGGCCAAAGTTTTAACTGTAAGCTGTAAAGCAATCGCCCCATTGAGACCCTCAATAAAGTTTTTCGGGTAGCCTCCCTCAGCCAGCTGTGTTTTGAACTGTCTTATATTATCTTCAACTTTTTCTTTTGAAACCTTTCCTTCCCGTGGGGGACACTCACTGTAGAACGTGTACTAGAATGTCTCTGTTGGTTCGACGTGTGAAGAAGTGACCGGTTTCTTGTATCGAGAACTGACTCCCTGTTGAATCTTTCACCCTTACAGATAGTGGTGTCTAACAAAGCAGCTTCTGAAACAGACTTTTTAGCCGTGTTTTTTTTCTTGTTCAATGAACTGGTTAACATCTCTGTTTTTTTGTGCAAAAGAGAGGTAATGTCGTCGGTGTAGCATTCCCAAACGAGCAGTTTGTGAGCGCGCTTATCTATGATTTGCATTTCGAATTTAGCTATGGAGATATCTTCGAGAGCTAGTGCAATTTGGTGCCCATGGCGGTTCACTGCATTTACAAGTAATTTTGTTCCGTGAATTAGATTGAGTATTCCTTCAAAATCAGTCTGGGGGAAGTACATTTGTGTATAAGCTCGTTCATTGCAACGGAAGCTTTGTTTTTTTTTTAAACTTCTTGAAGTGTGGTGTATCTTTGAGATATGACTTCTTTTGTTGTGCGATCGGATGAAGAATTTTATCTACGTAACAGGATCGCTTTTCTGTTGGTCCTTCCGTAGGTGGAGTTTTTGTGTCTCATTTGTAAAGACGAGAAGCATACCTAGGAAAACTGGTTTTTTGAGCCGGCTAAATATGCCTAAGCAACTCTTCGCCTTTCCCAATAATGAGAGGACACTATCAATAATGTTAAGGCTATGTCCATCAGTTTAAATATGCGGTGAACAGCGGAATGCTGGACTGGAAAAGTCTATTTTGGACCCCTGTTGAAGTTCGATCGACGTCCAGTATCCATTTTACAAATCATCAAATTATAATGATAATAACAATAATAATAATAATTGAAATTTATATAGCGCAAATTCCATATACATGATCAAATGCGCTTTACATGAAAATAAAGAAAATGTAGGGGAAAAAAAAATTTATATATATATATAAAATTACAATTTTCCTAATGAGATAAGAAAGTAAAAAGCCCTAACAAAATGAGATAGAATATTAAAAAGCATTAAGCTAATGAGATGGGAGATTAAAAGCCCGGGTAAAAAGGTAGGTTTTAAGATTACGTTTCAAACTAGAGAAGGAGTGAAGGCCAGTGATGTTACTTGGTAAGTCATTCGAGAGACGTGGTGCAGCATAGGAGAATGCCCTCGCTCCCAAAGTGGGTAACATCTTACCACTCGGGACCTTGAGCAGAAGTTTTTCATTCGACCTTAGCTCATATTTAGTGCGAATTTTAAAGCTAATAAGCTTACACATATAGCCGGATGCCATACCGTGCATTGGCTTAAAACATTATAAAATAATCTTAAATTCTATACGGTACCTAATTGGTAACCAGTGAAGCTGGCATAACAGTGGTGTAATATGGCTAAACTTAGGTTGTTTAAAGATTAGCCTATCGGCTGCATTTTGAACCCTTTGTAGCTTGTCAATTTGTACTTGAGGTGTACCATAAAGCAAGCTGTTACAGTAATCCAATCTGCTGGTAATAAAAGCATGGATCAAAGTCTCTGTAGAGTTTGGCGATAAGTACTTCCTAATGCGCCAGATATTATGAATATAATAAAATGATACATTACAAACTTTATTTATATGAGCATTCATAGATGGTTTGTCGTCAAGAAAAGTACCATGGTTTTTGACAACAAATGATCTTTCAACCTGGGAACTTCCAACAGTAATCGAAGAGACGTTAATTTTTGACAGTTGCTGCCGGGTCCCTAGAATAAGAAACTCCGTTTTTTCATCGTTGAGGAGTTTATCGTGCTCCATCCATAGGCGGATATCACCTATGCAATTTTGCATGATGATGATAGCATCTTGTTGGCTCGTCACCTTATAAGGCTTAAAAGAAAGGTATAGCTGTGAGTCATCTGCATAACAGTGAGCTTCCGGGAGATGTTGTTCGACAATTTTAAAAAACGTCGAAGAATAAATTATGTACAATAAAGGACCAAGACAGGAACCTTACGGAACGCCCCAGTACAGACCGAAACTATCAGATAAGGTACCACAGATGGTACCTTAGAGAAATTAGAGAGTTTTAGATCCCCATTTGATGTGTTAACTGCAAACGTCAAGCAGTTGGCAGTTTGAGGTTAGAAGTTAGAAGTTTTTAGATTTTTCAGCTTACAAATCGACGTCGCCTTTCACCTAAAAAAAAAAAAAATCAACAAGCGAGCCGCTACATTGAATTACACGAAGGATGGAGGTCCTGTTTTCTATTCAAACACAAAATGTGGGAGAATTTTTGGTTTTCTAGCGTTCCATTAATTCTAAATATATTTACAGGAGATACTTTAAAACTTTTAGACAACAAGAGAAAAACCGCCGAGGAAGTTGATCTACCTGAAACTAACTTGAGTGAAGTTCAAACGTGGACCGCAAATGGCGAAACTGACCGCTTGAGAAGCTGCTGAATCAGCACCAGATATGTTTGTTTCCTCCATCATTCGTCAATGGTTGATATCCATGCGACGTATAGAGCATCGTATTAGGGCCATATCAGATATTAAGGCGGGAGAATTACGGAGATCAATAAACGGATATGTCCTGAATAAAGTGGTGTTCGCGGTCACTTACACCTTAAAAAACGGATAGGCAAACTTAAGAAAATTATGGTAGACTGTCAGCGTTGCTCGATGGCGATTATGACAAAATAGCTCACTATACGAGAGCAGACTAGTCATCATTTCTGCCCGACATCTCACCGGCCAGAACCTAGCATGACTAATTTTTTTAAAGAAAATCATACTTGTGTACTGGGACACTTTTTTCTAAACATATACATGGTAGTAAATCGCTGTAACAGATCACCGTTGGTCTCCTCCCTTTCTTTAATCATTTTGAAGACGGCTGGGGTATAACCTTGGAATCCTCTAGCTGGGAGCTACTCGTTCGATGACCATTTCAAAACCATATATATACATATATATATATATATATATATATATATGTTTGTGTATATGTAAAAGTGTGTTTGTTATATATCTGGCAGCGCCCGTAGGCAAGATAGAGCGAATCCTGTGCTCCGGTTGGCTAATAAACAAGTCATTCTTGATTCTTATTAAAACGAAAAATTTTTGCCGTATAGCAAATCATTTGTTGACCAAGTTTGTTCGGTCAAGATTCCTGGAAAGTAGCCTCGTTATGTTTTTCCTCTCATAATATTTATTCTGCTCTGCTTCAACGTATTGAGCACTGTTCCACGCGAAAATCGACTTGCAGACTTCCTATATATATATATATATATATAGAGACAGATATAGTACATAAACTCCTTCAGACCGCTGGCATGTCGACTGATAATGTCCGCGGCTGACAGATTGTCCGAAAAACGAATATTTGGCCGAGAAGCGAAGCTTCGAGGGCAAATATGAAATTTTGAGGACAATCTCTCGGCCAAGGACATTATAAGCCAACATACCTGCAAGCCAGAACAGGGTTTATTCATTTTATAACCCTCCCATTAATTTTCACAGCGCAATTAAACAGCGCGAAAACACAGTAAAAAAGCCAGTGGTGATCTGATGGCGAATGCGCGTGATTGAAGCAAGCAAGCAAAAAAAAAAATCAGTTTGGTTTCCTTTCATGTAAATAGGAGAACGGAAAAGTTGAAACTCTTGCGTTGACTATGTTTCTTTTTCACGGACAAAATCGGAGGATAAATATCAACGCGGACGAGGGCTATTGTGTGATAACTGTCCTGTGATTTTGCACCACGTGACGTAAAGTAACCAATAAAATCGCGCCAAAATTAATGGTAGGTTATAAATAAATATATATACACACACACCTGTTTTCAAAAACATTACAACTTAAAGTATACCTTTTCTTTTCTTGTCAAGTTTTGATTGAAAAATGAAATGGTGTATATGTCATATGTATTTTGAAATTGTAACGTTTTTTAAAACAGATGTATTTATATACTTTTGCAGATTGCAAATGTCTCTCATCCCTGGCCATAGTAAGTTACCACACAGGCGGAACTGCCGCAGGGCAGGCGTCTACATATATATCTATACCTTATAGCAGGTGTAAGTATATACCTTTACAGACTGCAAATGTCTCTCTTCCCCATCCCTGGCCACACTGAGTAATCTACCACACTAGAAGGACTGCCTCAAGGCCTGAGCCTGACAATTTACCTTAGGAGAATGTCCAAATATAAATTTTCAAATTACAACGGCACACGATCTTTATAATTTATTCTTGTTTTTCTCGTTGCCATGTCCCCACCAATAACGTAGCTCCATTTTCTGCCTTTCAAAGCACACACAACACACAATTCCTCTATTCGCTCCGACGAAGGGCTGACGCTCGAAACGTCGGCTTTTGTAATCGTTACGGTGGCCAATTTACCATTTTAACTTTGTTGATATATCCAAATTATTTTGTTTTTTTCAAGCCTGCTTATGCGGCTAAGTTTTCGGACTGATTAACGGACCACCTACAGGACAGCTCATTATACAGGTGGCAGCGATCGGGGCAATATGAAGCGAGTCCTATGTTCTGATTGGCTACCTGAGGGGGAAAACTTTACCAGGCTTTATGAGCCCTTCGAGCTGAGAGGAGGGTTCCGAATACGTTTTTCGGGATCCGGGAATTTAGAGTAAGAAGGGAATGAAATGTGGAATCGTTACTATGGACGGGACTCGGAAATCTGCGGTTTTGACCTGTTACTGACCTGTTTTTTAGTGTAATATGAACGATTTTTCTCCGCATTTGCCCGTATGTAACCATAAACAAAGACAACAGGGATTGAAAAATCCCATTGGGTACTCTCTAAGTGAACGAGGGGCTCTGGGACGAGGACGCGGGAAGCATTCTTCCCATCTGTAGGTCAATCGATGACATAGAGTAAGCATTCTAGCCAACCTGCAAAGAAACCACCAGTTGATAATTCATAAGTTAATACAAGCTGTGCGATAAACCTTCTGCATTATAAAGATCGTGTGGCGTGGTAGGCCATAACGCGTGACGTTCAAATTCCCAGAGGATTCAAACCTACAATACAGCAGGTAGGTAAGGTGTTAATAAGCTAGTTTGCGATTTACCTTCACACGCATAGATTTATCACAAAGTTTCTTATTGTCAGATTTGGGTAACGAAAGGGCGCTTCTTCCAGAGACAATTCCGCTCTATGAACACGCGTGTGGTCAAATTAACATTAGTTTGAACCGCTAACGACTTGTCTCAGAACACCACAGAAAAACCGTTTCGCGGATGAGAAAGTTGGAGAGAAAAAACGATTCTAACAAGGCTCTAATTCGTTTCCAAATGGGCAATAGATCTTGAAGAAAATTTGCTGGTAATTATCAGAAACGTACTGCATTCGTACCGGTCACTTTAGACTAATATATCGCAAAGAAACATTCATTGAACCCAGAATCATCAACTTGTTGTTTCTGATATATCGGGAAAATTGCTTTGTCATGGTTGAAATGTAGACACTGTGATTGTTTCAAATTCCGCTTTAAAAATCAAACAGTTTGAAACATAGAGACCAAGTGGCTCTCTAGTTAAAGCAGTATATTTAGGAAGAGGTGAATAACTCAATTTTCATTATGATTTTCACTCGAAGCCATAATTTACAATTATGTGTTCATTAACTGTGAGTAATTTAACTGCACTTAAATTAATATTTTTCGGGAATTTTCAACCAGTGAGCACTTATTTGAAACTTTGTGGTAAAATATGTTTTGTGGGTTAAGGTGCTCAGGCTACCACAATTTCAGATGTCCGTAAATTGTGAATTTGAATGACAGAGAAATTTACTTAGATTAATGTGTTGCGACCCCAATGTATCTATGGTGATACTCAAATTGTAATACATTTCCTACGTCTCTTTATGATCATTGCTGCGGTGCAATTTTTCGTCATGCACACCTTATCTAAGTCATTAAGCTTAAGTCTGAGTGACTGACGGTTCAAGCTGATTAACTTTACACTGCAGAGACAAGTACATTTCAAATACTTTGGGAAAGAGTTTTGAAAGCGATTGTTTGAAATCAATTTAAATTTAATTCATTGCAGGAAGTGCAGTTTTCAGAAACATTAAGTAAATCTAACATTACGTAAACCTAACATTAAGTAAATCTAACATTTACGCCGAAAATGTAAACAACATCTGTGGCCACTAAATTAAAAACCATTAACTGGTATTGTTTAATTAGAAAATGTGACAGACTGGGAGAACCCCATGTTATTTTCTTTTTTTCAAAGCAAAATCCAAGGTAAAGTAAAGCATATAACAATATTTCTCGTGTGTACCTGGCAAATAAATTACCCAATGTAATACACTATTTCACTCCCAAATGGAAAAATATCAGTTCTCTACAATGTCTGTAATGCATTTCATGTAATAATGTAAAAAAAGGTTGTGGTTTTTCATTCTGATCAAAAGAGATTAGTAAAATCATTTGTCTCACAATGTTGTCACGATCAACATCTGCCGTGACCACATCACGAGACAATGATTATACTTCTTTTCCAAAATTTCTTGTGATGTTAAAACGTTGTTTTGAAGAATTTGGTCTTAAATCAGGCAATATCCCAAAATTGGTATTTTTCCTTTGCCCTCCTCGCCATCCATTGATGTTTAAGAAGAAACTACTCAGTGGTCACCTCTGCAAGTTTAAGAGTTACCCCCCCCCCCCACAGGGCAATTGTTATTACCCTGTGGGTAATGATTCCTTAAACAAATTCTTGGATCCATTTTAGTAAGCCCTTTTTTCCCTTTAATCACAGCAGAACAGAATTACCTGCTATTGTACACAAATCTAAAAGCAGCAGCTATTCATAATTAAAGTACATTCCTTTTCTCATGTATGCCAATCAAAGTGAGCCTTCCATTTCTTAAGAACCTGTGACACTTTTGCACTTGAGACTCATCCAATTAGCAATAATTTGATATTGTAACCCACATGTGGAAAATGTCTAAATCTTGATAAAGGCACATGAAGAAACTTTTCATATAGGGTCATCTAAGCTCAAAATGAAAAATTTCTAAGCTTACAATGCTTATCAACAGCTTTTATCATGATTTGTCATGGAAAAGGAAGATGTTTTTGTTAACTTGTTTACATGAGAAAGAAATTGTGCATTGAATCAGGCAATCCTAATTGTATTGGACGACATTTGTAACATCACTATTTATATCAATATCATTGAGTGAAGTAATTGGGAAGCCTTTTTCCATCGGATATTGCTTCTTTAAGCCCCAACATAAGTATGCATAATCTCCATACTGTTCTCTTGCATTTTCCAAGGTTCAAACACAAAGAATAAATGTGACTAATATATGCACATTAGCTCTAGGAAGTAGAATAGCTTATTTCAGCAGAGCCCAGCTGTTAAAATGGCTTGCACACGACAAGCTTTTAATATACATAATTGACACAAAAAATAGAAACAATTAAAAAATTTCATTTCCTTGATGCTTTTTGAACAATGCTCCACCGAAAATGATAGGAATATTCTTTGCCTCTTGAGTATTTGATGTTACAATTTTAATGCATTACCGAAGACTATCAAGCATTTTGTGCCCTCCAAGTAGAAAGCATTAAATGCACCTTAACTTTTTTTGCAATTTTTCATTGAGGTGTATCAGAATGGAATCACTCCAAGCTTAACCCTGGCTTGAACCTTTCTTAATGGGAGCTAATTGCGCAGTGGAACAGGGCAGTTAAAATGGTTTGCATGACAAGCTTAGGGCTATACCAGAATTTTACCTATTAAAAAGGTGAAATTCTCTGCCATAACAAAGTGATGTGTGTGATAATTTTTTTTGATAACTTAGGAACATTGCTTTAATGAAAATACAGTTGAACCTGCTGAGTAGCTCCACTGACGGCCACCTCTCTACAACAGCCACTTTTTTTGGTCCAGGTCAGGGCTGTCCATACATTCATTTAAACCTTTCTCTAACAGCCACCATTCCACAACAGCTTTTCTTCTGTCCTCAAGGTGGCTATTGTGGAAAGGTTCAACTGTAAAAGGTTGATGAAATGGATATAATTTTTGCCTCATTTGAACATTTGAAATAGCAATTCCATAGAGCTTGACAGGAGACAATCAGCATCAAAATTACCTTAATTTTTGTAGTTACTCATTGAGACAAACCACAACGAATGGAATCAGTGACTGACCTCGATTTAAACCTTTCTTGGGAGTCTAAATTTTTTTGCAACCTTTATTGGCTGAGTGGAAGGATTTCACACAGTCAGTAATGCACATGGACTTCTAAAATTGACTTGCAAAGGACAAAGACAAAAACAAAACATATACACACTGTACAAGTAAAGTAGAGCCTCTAAAACAACCAATATTCATCGTAGTAACCCTGGATGTAAATGTTCAGGTTCTATTCAAAATATTAACTCTGTTCACCCTAGCATCAGTATGCATATTCTCCATACTGTTCTCTGTAAAATTCTTAACATGCTGAGAAGGTGAATTTGTTTAACAATCAAGAGCTTCTTTAGTTGATAATCATTTCCTATATTCTTTTGATCTTAAAAATTTAATATTAATTCAGGGGTGATAATTATTGTGGGGAGAAATCATTCTTAGGGGTTAAGGTGAAAGGAGATCAAATTTAAGCCTACTTTTTAAATATGCAAAAATCAATGAAAGACTAAACTGTTACCTTGATTAGTGACACTTGATACGAATAGGTCTCCAACTGAAAGCATGTCATTCCGACTTTTCTATCATGCGACCTGTGCCCTAAACAGACTGTCTACAAATTGTAAGCTTAATGGGAAAGGAATGCACTTTGGATATAAGCAGCTACCTTGGGGAAGCAATTTGCTTGACACTGAAAGAACTGCTGTGAGGGAACTATAGCTTCCTATATAGTAACCTATACTTTGATCGCATGATTTTCTTCAAGACAAACAAATTTCCCAACAGATTTATCACCTGTGTAATACCCCTTAAGGCCTGAACGATTCCACTGGACATATTTTATTTATAAAGTTAGCCTAATTTTTCTCAAACATATTTTTATGCTAACTTGTTTTAATCTACTGGTAGTCTTTTTGATGTAATAATGAATGTTGTCTCTTAGCAATAATCATATAATTCAGTCTTTGGTTGCAGAGAGTTTATCGATAAACTATCTATTGCTATCCCTCATCTTGAGGATCTGTTTGAATTTAGAACAAATTGTAGGAGTACAGGGTTAACAAGGATAATGTCAAAGGCTCCAATTAATCAAAGAAGTACTTTTCTGCTTTTTTGTCAATTTTCATGCTCATGTGTTTCCAATTCACTCTCTGTAGTGCACTGGAGAATGGCTAGCCACTAAACTGTTAATTTTTGTGTGGTTTACACAAATTGTGTAGCCACATTATGGCACGATCTGATTGATTGATTGATTGATTTATTTGTTCACAGAGTCAAGCACCTGTCACATGGTCTAGTGTCATTCAGTGCATTAGACTATTAGTCTGAGTCAGCCATCTTGGTTGTTAGCGTGGTCTCCAGTAATTTTTTCTGGTGATCATATCATGAGTTAGTGCTCCTCGCACAAACCAACATACCCAGACCTGGCTTTTGTGATAACTGCAGCTTGTGCAAGAGCTTTTACACTCGTAAAAGACAGCATTTAAAAGCTTGAATCTTCGGTACGAGTTGTATTACACTGAAAGGAGTCAGATTGCACTCTTGCAGCCAACAACTAGCTGTTTGATCTATTGATGTGGGTTGCAACACTGAGTGTCTGAAAGTGTTTGAAAGTGTCTGAAGCCACCTGAAAGTGCTATCAAGTGAAATTAAGTTGTATTGTAGTTGCATTCTTGCACTGTTGAGAATTCATGGAGGCATCTTTAAGAACGACAAAAGTAAGTATGGGAATCTCAATTGAACAATATCTGTCAAGGATTGGCTCTCATGACAGTTTCGTGAAAATAAAGAATATCTTATGAAGTCCTGAGGATCGTTTTTGGAGTTTAATGCTTATGATGTTCTATTTAAATGTATTTTACCTGCCAGTATTGAAACAGGTTGTTAGACAAACAAAATGTGGAATGATATGATGTTTTGGTTTTCACAAATGATTTTCAACAAAGCCTATATTCCATTGCTTATAGGAGCCTAGTAGTTTAATGTTACAAATGAAATGTGATTAGTATTATGTTTTCTAAGTAATGCCCAGAATTATTCAGACCTAACATTTCATGACTTTTTGTAAGCTTGGCAGTCTTCTAAATTCTCTTCATAATGGTTCAGACAAGCATTGATATTTAAACCTCACGGTAGCATTATACAGGTGTAGTAGGCCTTTATTTGACAGACTACAACAGTACTCCTTTTTTAGTTCCTTGTTTGGTTTTGGTTAGTTCATCACAATACTGATCTCCATGAAAAATTACACTCTTGATTAGCTGAAAACAGCTAGGTGTCTTTTTCATGTATCACTAATGCAAAAGTAATAACTCGAATATAAATGTGAACTACTGGTAGGCTCAGTAACAGTAAATCACACTAGAAACCAATCAGATTTACACAAAGTATGCTGTGCTGATTGATAGACATAGTAGCTGACCGAAGTAAACAAATGCTTGGATATTTTTATGTCTATTGCTAAACACTCACAAAATTGCATTCCTGAGTATGATTTCAGCTGAAGGACAAATTTTGATAGCATGTCAAGTTGACCATTTACATGATGATGTCAAGTTCACCTGTTCACTTGTGACCAAGGCAGGTTCTGATGTTGTTATTTGAACAATGAGACAGACTTATAGCCACAATAAATTTATTTATACAGGAAAGTACAAAAGAAATAATACTGATAAAAAGAAAGGGTGATTGCAAGCAAAATAAAAAATAAATGACAAATAGCAAATCACTCACAACATAATCTAAAATAATGAAATAAAACAATTAGTAAAAAAATCCAATCAATTTTCATACAATATAGCAAGGCACTAAACTTAACAAACAAGACAATTTTAAAGCATTGCATGACAGAACAGTAATCATTGTGTTACACTTAAAAGACTAATCCTCTGAACCAAACATAGGACTATTGAATGGTGGGCTATTCTTACAATTATACATGAAATGACTGAAAACAAGTCAATACTGATAAAACAATGGCTCAAAACAACATAACATTATATAAGACTACTTTCAATCACGATTTCATATTTTTCTTCGACTTAAAGTGCTACTGAAACGAAATTTTAGTATCTGAAATATTTGCTCTAACCTGTAGTTTTGAATATGCTGATCATCATGAGATAATTTGCTTTGGCCAAAAAGAAGCGAAAGATATCTTTTTTAACCGTTCAAATCAAAAATTTTACACAAAACCATGTCCGGGCCCTGGTACCGAGCGAAATGGATTGATGACGTCAATGGTTGTGTTCACTCCGATAGCGTGGTTTATTTCACTCACTGTTTGTTTGTACTCGGGGGCGAAGGAGATGGCAGACATTGAAGTTTTGTCAAGTGAATCTTCTGAACGAAGCGAAGTTGTCTCCAGTAGCGAAGAGGAAGATGGTGGCGTAAAATAGGGTTGACAGGCCTACACGACTCCCAAGCGTGTGTTTAGAGTAGCCTATTCAAAGTTTAGCCCTCACAAGTATGTCTTTGAGCGACCGTCCTCTTTTGTAAGATACGAGCGGTGGATTTTTGTATAGTTCGCTCAGTAGTGGTTGTGTTTCTATTAAATGCCAGTTTTTCATGAGAATTTGCTTTATGTGTGGCACTGAGTACACACATCAGCAATTGCGTCTTTTTCGAATCGTTCGCCTTTGTAGATGTACAGCTATTTTTTTACTGTCTCGATAGTTACGTTGTCTGGATTGCTTTCAGCTTGCGCCATGCGCGCTGATTCGATCGTACTACAGTTCTTAGCGTTCAGTGCTCCAGCCGTTTTGGCTTGTTTTCTTTTCTTTATTTCGGTATTAAAACGAACGATTTCACGTTTATAGAAGCACATGATCGCCTTTACTGTTTCTTGCTCCGCGTTGTTAAGGATTTTCTTTATCTCATTTTTTAAATCCTCGTCTGCTCTTATTTTGGCCCTCGCCCTATATTGTAGGGATTCTGGGCAAGTTCTGCCAGGCATTTGGTACAGAGGGATTTGTTCGTTATCCTCAGACTTGCCGATTAGATCATCTTCAATTTTGCTCCCTATCCAGGTGAACCTCTCGCAAATAGCCAAGATGCCGATGTGGCTGCCGATGAATAAAAGACGAAGATGGCATTTTGCCCGAAATCCTCTTTTTCGGCCTCCCAACATGCAAGCCACACTCCATCCTTTTACCCTTCTTTCACAGAAGTACACAACCAGTGACGTCACAGGGCTGTTTTGGCCGCGCCAAGATGGCCGCCAACTTTGATCTCAGCCGGTCAACTTCGAAGGCTTAAAAATGTACTTTCCGGTATGCGTTGGCCCAAAAAAAGTACACAGCGTTTGCAAATAACGTTCAAGCTCTATTATATTGCAAAAATCTCGGATATGAAAATTATGTTTCAGTAGCACTTTAAAACAAGGAAGACTAGCAAAATCTCATTCTGTGACAGGACAACATCTGTCATTATAATGATGAACGTACTAAACAATGAAGACTGTAGTGAAATATCTGATTTCACCAATGAACTTTAAGTCAAGTATACAGATAAATGCAATGTTCTGAAAGCTGAATGCAATCTTGACACATTTTGAACATGAATCAACTAATATAACAATTGGATTGAGATAACTACACATGAACTATATTGTTCTTGAACTCAAACTGTAAGACCACAGGGGGCCCACACAAGCGGTGTCTGGTTGTTTGCTGGAAATATAAAGAAATGTATGGGAGAATATTGAAGTGTCGTAATATCGTAAAATTATATCAAGGAATGTATACGTAAGGCTCAAAATAAATGTAAACCTACCTCACTTGCCGTGTATTGTTGTTTCTGTGGTTCTAAATGGCGAATTTAAGTGATTTGGCAGATTTTGCGTTGACTGTTACTCTACTGTATAGGAAGGAGACGCAAAATCTACCAAATCCCTCAAATTAGCCATTTAGAACCACAGAAACGGCATTAAGCCGCAAGTGAGGTAGGTTTACATTTATTTTGAGCCTTAACATAGACATTCCTCGATATAAGTTTACGATATTACGACTCTTCAATATTCTCCCATACATTTCTTTATATTTCGAACAAACGACCAGACACGCTGCTTGTATGGGGCCCCCTGTGATGTGACATACCAAATCCTCAGTGAAATAGGTCACTAACTTGAGGTTACACATACTGGAGTTACTTTTTTTGTGACCAAGAAGTTCTGAGCTTGTAAGCGTTGGTCTTGACACTCTGAACTACTGGCCAGGGTTAAACTAACTAACTAACTGCACCTCTTTTATAAGGAATCAAACAATAGCAGGAAATTCTTTAAGATTTTGGAAGTTAGGTGTGATCATTCTGAAATTTAGCTGCAAATCCTGTGTTTAGGATGATTTGGTTATCATAGGAAATAGTTAAGTGTGATGGTGCGACATAAAGGAAATTTATGATGCAAATCCTGTGTGTATGATAATTTGATTATCATAGGAAATAGTTTCTGAAGATGTCATTCAAAAATTATAACAAAAAATATTGCAATGTCATGCACAATTGTGAGCCTGGTCACACATGTCATGTCTCCACATAGCTTGAATTTGGGAAACACACTGGCACGAAATAACAATTATTTACTTTGAATCATATGATACCATCATGCACTTGCTTGTACATTGAACTCTGTTGTGCTTCAGTTATAAGCCTCTGATTATTGTTCTTGAAATGTCTTGTGATGGTGACACTATCTCTATTGAACCTTCTGTTAAAGTGCCAATATGATCAAAATTTTGCATTGCCTTTTCTTTTCACTTCTGGAAACTAGAAGTAAAAACACATACCATGCCAAGTTTAATCGCAAAATTCTCACGGGAAGTATGATTATTTCAACCCTGTTTTTCGTTTTTGGTTGCCTGCCATTACTCAATTAAAAAATCGCCGAGTGTGGCAAAAAGAGTTGGCACTAGTTGGAGCCTTTCGGAAGTGACGTCATATGTGCAGCTCCACCTAAAAAATGTGGCTAAATTTGTATGCCATTTGGAAGAAGAATTAGAGGAAGAATATATCTCATAAAACGCCTGGAATTTCCACTGTGGAATCTCTCTCAACACACACACCACGATGCAAAAGTGCACATATGACGTCACAGGCCAACTCATGCGTAAAACTGCTTTTCAGTTCAGTCGCTGGCTCTCGGTTGCAAGCTGAGTAATGGCGGACAGGTTTTTCGTGAATTTCGGCCAGCAATATCAAGGCATATTTCCCTTCCATTGACCTAAAAACTATCGCATAGTACAATTCTAACCATATTAACTTGATTGGCGCTAAAAAATGTCAAAACCAGAGACAAAAATTTTCTTCGTAGTGGCACTTTAAATGACACCTCCAGGTCAATAATGACTCTTATTGGGTTAAAAATTATCGGCAATGTTAGAAGTAATGCTCCTTTAGAGTACTACTCAATATATGATTCATTAAAATATTACTTGTGTTCTGATCTTGTCAGGCACCTATCTTTTTTCCCTAAATTCTTCCATTTACTTAACAAAATTAATGGTAAACACCACAGCATACACTATTGAGTTTTGGATGCACGCGGGAGGTTGCTAAGCATGAAAGAAGCATAAGAGTCGCTCGAGGCAATAGCCGAGAGCGACTCTAGCTTCTTGAGAGCTTAGCAAACCTCCCAAGTGCATCCATAACTCAATAGTGTACGCTGTGGTGTTTACCATTTGTTTTATAACATAACATCGATACATTGTAGCTAAAAAGTTCCCTTTTATTTAAAAAATCTTAAGCGACCAGAAAAAAACAAGCACGCGCGTAAAAATAGTTTTTGCATTTGCTCACGTCAGCAGCGTACACCCATGGGCAAATGGGGGATGCTAAATTGACCAATCAGAGCGCACGCTTTACTTTGGTTATGTTATAAAACCCCATATCCACCCACCTCATCTAAATTCTTCTGTGTTCTTTATTGAAAATACAGTCCAACAAAACCCAAATACAATGATTATAGTAAATGATTTGCCCTCAACCAAATGAGAATAGAACTTAGAGCCCTAATGGCAATAGAAACCTACACTCAGCATTGTGTTACTTTACATGTATGTTTTGTCCAAAATTAGTCATACATTCAAACCAAATCAAGCTCCCAATGGCTTCTAGTGTAGATTACATCATTTCCTGAATGTCCTGGCCCTTGTGGAGAGTTTTTTTCCTCATGCACTGGTACACAAAATGCCAAAAATATTCATATGAAATGTTTCCCTAGAGGTAATCTCACATCGCTTTCCTTGGAAAAGACAATCAACCAACAAACTTCAGAATTTCCACTTTGTTACATTAAACAAAATTATGACTGAATCTTTCAGGCCACCATAAGAGATGATGCTGACATTTTTTTCAGTTCCTAAAATCCTCAGGTTACATGTGCATCTTTGGGGTCTTTGTTATTAAAATGAGACCTCCATAGTAAAGTTTGGCCATCAACCCTCATCTTGAAAATAAACATTTCAGGACTATTGTCTGCTAGTTATCTCTTTTATCGATGAACAGGAGCAATATTGAAAACTATCTAATTGCAATCAGATATTAGCTCTTCTAATAGAAACTCAATAAGACACTAGACACTAAAAGGCAGCTTAATTTCGTAAGCCATACATGTGTGCATTGCAGACCTATTTTTGTTTAAGCTAATGCTAACATTTCATAAGGTAAAGGTGAGAAATACTGTGGAAGTCCAGAAATATTTTAAAGGATCGAGAAAACTTTTTCATCGGTCGAACAGTTTTTTTCGCTGGTTGAGAAGTTTTTGGTAGATTGAGAATTAATTTTGTCCATCAAGAATTTTTTTGCCAATTGAGTATTTTTTTGTCGATCGAGAATTCACGATCGACAAAAAAATTTTCTCGATTCTTTAAAATATTTCTGAACTTCCACAATATTTCTCGCCGAAGAGAATTATTTCTCAACCAAGGAAAAAGTTTTCTCAATCGTCAAAATATTTCTGGACCATCAAAAATATATCTTGAAAGACAAAATTATTTCTTAGCCAACAAAATTATTCTCGACCACTTTTGTCCATTATGGCTTTGCATGTTTGCACTCTATTCAATATTTTTTGTCCCAATATTTCTATAAAATTAACCATCATAGGTTGCCCTAAATGTTGTGGTCATCTCTTGCTTTTCAAAGGAAAATACAAATTTCACATGTTATGCGAACATCATGTGTGGCTTTAACATGTTACAAAACCGGGGAAAATGTGTTCCATTGCTATTTTAAAATAAACTACTTATTGATTTGAGGCCAGATAATTTTTCTCTCATTATTGAATAATTTCACCCTTGACAATTAATTTTCACCGTGCAGAAGACTAGTAACTGCTTCTAGGAAAACATTCCATTACAGTACACTTTCAAGCAATAACTAAGACAACAAAAATAACAAAACAAAATAGCACTACAGAAAGTCTCTTTTGTGAAAGGAACATGCACAAATAACAACAAGGATCCCCAAACTTTTATATATTACTAAATTTTATGATAAATGTTTTGTTTCTCAGTTTCTTCCTAATTTCAAACTTCATTTGGATCCCTGATCTTATCTATGGAATTCATGCGGTTTTATCTAATTATTAATTTTTATATTGTGATTGTAAATTGTTTTGATAACAGCAGGTCCATATCAGCTATTTTTAGCTGCCTTAATTTAACCTGCTATACCAAATAAAGTGTAGTGTATGTATGTATGCATGTAGAACACTGCATGCATGGGAAATACAGACCTTCCAACATCTAAAACCTCCAAATCTTGAGGTCTCCAAAATTTACCCACAAAAATCTTGAGATTTGGGTCCCACAAAGTGAGAATTACAAAAATGTTTTAACGAAGGAATCTCAACGCTAACAGTAGCTAGCAGTGTTTAAACTGTAATGATTAGTGCCCTTTTAGCATCAATTAACACAAATTAGGCAAACAAGTACCTTACTTGTGTGGTGTTCATTTGTGTTCATCATAGTATGAAACACCGACACGAGTGTCTTGGACGTTTTCAAAGGATTGCTTCTTCCGTTCCGCCATCTTGAACACATGACACAAAGTTTTCCCCAGGGAATATTTCACGCTCTCATTGGGTATAAGAACGAGGTTTAAAAATAGCTCGGCCCAGACTCTTAGTGAGAAGAAATGCATGAGGCCATTCGCAAACTGGCCTCATGATTGAGCTTGTGATTCATTGTGGATGAGTCCTGAAATCGCGAGTGTCACGATCACATCGTGAGAGTTGGATGGTTTGGAAATGTTAAACCTTGATATGTCAATTGCAAAAGCGGACAACCTAAGGTTTTCTCGCTTTTTCTAATTTGAGAGGAGCCGTGGAAGGGTTAATACATATTAGACATCCTTGGCAGCATTTCAGTGTGCAAATCACGTACTTCGATGAGCTTCGGCAACGCAATTTTCTCTTTCGTAAACAGTCGTTACCACTTGAGACGGTTGTTGCCATTTTGAAACGGTCGTTACCATTTGCCGAAACAGTCGTTACCACTTTGTAATGAATGGCAACGACTGTTATCGGAAATGGCAAGGACCGTTTCAAAATGGGAACGACCGTTTATGGAAGGGAAAATTGCTTCGGCGACAAGGTTTGATTTGAGCCAAATTAATACCTAACCCATACCCACTTTTGTTCAGTACAGGTCACTTACAGTAACTTTCTCCGGCATCTTACATGCTTCATCTTGGGAAAGCAATTGCTGATGACTCTACAATCTTTCTATCCATTTTTCATTCATATTCCACTAGAACAGCACACTAACACATTCGTAAGCTCATGGCTACCGTCTATAACATCAAGAAATGGTTAGATATTCTAGTGTTCTCGGATAGGGACGAAAAAATGGAGGTCCCGTCTCCTGTAGGGTTAGGGGCAGGAGACGTTAATTTCCCACGCACGAGATTACTGTGTGATGGATTTCCTCCCCTGGGGTGGGTTGGGTGGGTTTACTGGGCCCGCAGTAATTAGCGTAAGCTGTTGCGGTGTCCCTGCCGGTCGCCGAAGCTTAATAAATATTTCAGAGGCGTTACGCCTTGGGACGAGGCAAAGAACACGACGTCGATGTAAAGACGATAGACCCCATTTGGCGTGAAAATAAATACATGCTTCGAAAACATTTTGTAAATAAGCCCCCTTCAGCCGGCTGGTATGTCGTTTGATCATGTCCGCGGCTGAGAGAATATCCGAAAAATAAATATTTGGCTTAATATGAAATTTTGAGCCTTTTCACAATAGAGGGTCAATAAAATGCTACAAACATAACATTGCATCGCACAGTGGTGTCCTGGTTTAATCGGTTTTCAGGACGAATACGATACTGATGGAGCAAAAGTGGTTGATATGGATGTAAAAAAGCGCTCGTGAACAAATGTTAATATGTCCATCGCTTAAAATTATGTTTCCACTCATCCAATCAAATTTAAGAATTTTCTTTGCTTCCTTACAGCAGCAGATCTTATAGACAGAGGTGATAATCACTAGGACGAACACGCAAAAACCACAGCAGATGAGTATTACCAAGGAAGATCGATGGTGGTCGTCATTCGGCTTTGGGCTAAATAAGGTATTTATTCCGCCACATATTTGCACAATCCAAATAAAAATTACAGAACATTACAAGATATTGAGAGGCCAGGATGGCATACACTCAGGCCAGGATTTTAACAACAACCTGCAGAGAAAAATGGGGAAGAAGCTACAGTGGCAAAATATAAATGGCAACGACGCTCGTTCAGACCCTCAGTCATACGACTACAACATAAGAGATGAGCTTTGGTTCGCAAAGCTGTTTCTCATGCCTGAATTGGCGAAAAGGATTGAGGCCTTGGATGAGTCTTTGGATGCCTCTTGCGTGCTCAATTTAATTGAGCTCGTACCAGTATTCCCAAAATGGGCCAAAGAGGCGGCCCGAAAATTGAAAATAGAGGGGCGTATCGAATGGGCCCATGTCAATCGCAACTTTTCTTACTGGACGGAAGAGCAATACAATGACTGCTTTCAGATCATGAAGGACCTTGTGAATGGCCTAGGTTATCCCCAGAAGAGGTATTTAGTGGATCACTGAGTTGGAGAATTGGCGTATAAACGGTGAGTTTTGACAATGTATATGAGTTATAACTAAACGTGAGGTCAAGATGGCTGGATATTGGCCGAGTTCTTTTATTGCATCTTTAAGGACCGAAAAGAAGTCGAAGTCCATAAAAATACGAAAAAAGAACGAGGCTAATATCCAGCCATCTTGAACGAACAAGCTTGGTTAATAAAGGATTTACCATATTGCAAAAAGATTTCGCTTTATTAAGAATCAAGAATGATTCTAGCACATTAAACTCAGGAGAATCGCTTATGTTTTCTTTTGTTTTGATTATCGTCTGCCACTTTTTGCGTTCCCATCGCCGAAATTGTTCAAGAATTACGAACGTAGTTCTAAATATATTTTTTCTCATGCGCGGGATCAATGCGGGTAATCCCGAGCGGGCAAGATGTGCCCAGCGTAGCCAATCAGAATACAGGATTCGCTGTGTGAACGATGTAATAAATACATTTATTACATCGCTCGCAGCACCCGTGGATAAAATGAAGCGAATATATATATGAAAATGCAAAAATAAAAACTCGACCAACATCCAGCCATCTTGACGTCAGGCTTGGTCAATAACGCATACATGTTGAGTAAGCCGAAACACGAAGACAATGCTTTTATCCCTACAAGCCTGTTTTGTAATTACTCACCCCTCAGGGGATTTTAATGACATAAATATTCGTAAAATTTGCCTAGTAGACGTGGCGGTAAATTTGATTTTGAACGCTTTGTTCGGTTGTTACGCAATAACGCTTTGTTTCTGTGGCGGCATGAGGATACAAGTTCGTTACCTTTGTTCAGTGATGACAAGTCAGGTCGGCTGATAAGTAATTTTTCTTTGAGGCAGAGGTTGCATCTTTTTTACTTGCGCTATTATAGGATGAGCTCGATGATACATATAGATATTAGAAAGAAACTGTAAACTTCTCTGTCGAATGAAGATACTAAAACCAATGAAAAACGAAAATCCTCTTTTTCTCTCCTTTGGCGCTACGCGTTTCACCGCTGTTGCCGCCCTTCAGGCATAGCAAAGTGTGTTTATTGACTTAATACGTCACAGATCTTATTGTAATTCCAGTAATAATGGCTATTGTAATGGCGCTGCGCGCCAGGTCTAAAAATAGATATGTCATCTTTGGACCCACCGCTGGTTTAGGACAAACACTCGGAGTCTTTACAAGGACTTGTATGCGAAACGTGTCAGAAGCAAGACTGTTTTCGCTCAAAAA